GAGAGGGAGAGGGGGAGAGAGGGAGAGGGGGAGGGAGAGGGGGGAGAGAGAGAGGATTTTCATATATCTCCCAAAACAGATTTACCAGGGTAAATGTGAGGGCTTCAGTAAAACCAGCTTGTGCTATCTGTTCTCTCACCAAATCAGATAATTTGTTTAGCAGGAACTGCAAGAAAACAAGCACAATTAATATGATAAAAAACCAAATCAAGTAGTAACAGTTTATGTTGTATCAATGTCATAAATGCTTAATTCATAAATATAATAATATATATTCTAGTTCATGTATGAAGAAACAAAACTTCAGGAGCATTTGTTCACAACCACATTAAACTTAACAAAAACTGGGAATGAAGAAAGAAGTAACAGTTGAGAGGCCAGATTTTCCTTCACTTATGAAACATATGTCTCTCTTTTAAATTTAAAATGCCGCAATTAATTTCAATTATGTAATTAATTTTTTTAAAACAATGTTTCCTTCATAAATCACATTGTCATGCAACAAAGGCAGAAGCCTCTTCTCCATGCACCCCATACTGAGAGAGGTCAAGAAAACTCGTGCTTATAATTTGCTGTAACATATAGAATGCTAAATGAGAAACTGAAAAATAAATATAAATTCAAAATTGGGAGCCTACCTGCATTTTCGTTAATGAGGAAATGCAACTTACTGAAGGATTAATTCAGTATGCAAAATGAGTATTGTCCTTTGAGAAGTCATTCTGTGCATAATGAGTTTCAAGATATTTAAATAATTCCGGTAAAACTGAAAAACTATTTGAAGACATTTGCTTGGTTCAGAATGGGTAAAGCATTTTCTGAGTTGACACCTACAACTTTCGGCTAGGCAAGTGAGAATGATAAACAAAGCAGAACAGCTGATACTATGAACTCAATTATCTATTAGATTATAATATTATTTTCATTATGAAAGTATAGTCAACTTTGCAATAATACTGGAAATGATATATAAAAACTAAAATGATGATGGACCTTAAGCAATAACTGTGGAAACCGCAGAAATACAGAAATTAATTAGGTGATCAGTTTTATCCTAACTTGAAGGGTAATTCAGAAAATACTTCATATGCAAAATGGTGGCAAACTTGCTTGACAAGAGGTACATAAATTTGCGAAGAGTTAAATACTAAGTTAAACATTCTATATAAGAAATTCGAGAGTATTTGTGCACATTGTTGTCGGCAATATACAAGAAAAATATAAATAAATAAACTGCTTTACTCCAGTTTATGGAACTTTTATCATAGAAAAGCAATAATAAAAAAACTTTTTTTTTTTGAAATTGTGATATTTTTTTATTAACACAGAATGTCTACCTATTTTGAATTTATATTTCAGTTTATCTTATAGCGTATATGGCTCAGCATAAGCACAAGTTTTTTTGACATTTCTTCAATGTCTTATTTAAACAAGGTTTTCCAGACTAGCAGATTACATAAACATTCTATTATTAATTAAATTAAATCATTTCCATAAATCAATATTTTATTAGCTAAAAGGCATTTCATATCATTTTCTCTTGATTTTTATTCCAAAACAAATAAGAGTTTATGAAAGTTAGTTTTTGTGACTCACTTTTTTCAATAATAAAATAAATATTGTCTGGGCATGTACTACTTAAAATGAAACTGAAGTGTCTTTAATGTGAGTAGGCCTAAAGAAGAAAAGAAAACAAAATGTAAAAAAAATAAAAATAAAAACACTGAAAATGTACATACTTCCTCACCGACAGTGCTTGTTTTTGGCATGACTTTGGGAATTCTATTATATCCAAAGGCTATAGCAACATCTTCATAAATGTCACATGCATGAATAATGTCCTGCCTGGTGGGTGGTATCACAGATTCTATTTCTTTCCCAGATGATACTACTTGTGAATTAAGGCACATTTTTTTGAGTAGCAGGGCAATTGATTCAGCTGATTCTCTGCAATGTGTGAAACAAAATAAATTATTACCAATTTCTCAAATTGGAAAATACAGTCAGTAAAGATAAAAGTATTTTAACTTACTCTATTCCAACACAACCATTTACTTTCTTAACTTGCACAATTTCTTTCCTGTAAGCAAGGCTAGGATACATTAAAGAACTTCCCTCAGGGGTAATAACTTCACAAGATTCAACGGTATATTTATTTTCACAATATTGGCTGAACATGCAAACCAATGTATCCAGTACAATTTTTGCCTAAAATATAAATTCAATAATTAGACCTTATAGAACAACATGAGTAGCCTAAGTTAAGAATAAAGAACAAATAAAACATTTAATAAATATAATCTCCAGTTTTCCATACTTTTGTAAGATCTGTTGCTGTGCATTCAATGAAAATATTCTTAGTGTTCAAAGTTATTTTGGAATGGTCTCCATTAATTATTGGTGGAAGAGATAATACCACCCCATTACTATCATATATAATAGGATATACAGGACTGTCCTTTATAATGGGAAGGTATTGTCTCAGCTGAGCATGTGTCTGCAAAAAAGTTGATAAAATTACACATTTAAATTACATAAAGAACAATTTCAAGAACAAATCAGAACAATTTCATAACCGATTATTTTGATTAAGATACAAATCATATCAAACTTTTAGTGGAAACTGTTTATACACACATTGTAAAAAACAATTCACCATGCATTTACTCAAATATTAGCCAAAATTTGTTCCTAAATATCTCATCAAATAATACGTGGGGATCTTACATTTGCAGATTTACACTTAGAGTGTATGTTTTAATGCTGACCTTTCATGTCAAGGAGTTTTATGCAATCCTAATAATAAGAAAGGTAATAAAAACATGCATAACTGTAATATTAAATTATATTAGTGGACATATTTCCAGGATAAAGAAGGGATTTTCCAGGTGATCCAGAACCAATATCTTTCTGTCTGGTAGAGAGAAAAGCACTTTCAACATTCTCTGATCAGTGAGAGCAAATCTGTTTTGCATGCACCACAATGAAACAATTCACCATGATAGAAGAATACATTCTACATCCAATCACAAAAATGGAATGCCGTGATAGGACGGATTTAACTACATTATCATTTAGTTTCTCTGTTGTTTATTTTGTAATTTTATGTACATTCTGCAGTAACTGTACAGAGTTAAGACAGCTATAAGCTAAACAACAACAACAACAATAATAATAATAAAATGTACTAAAACAATATTATATGGCAATGTGTTTCGATGTTTTAATGTTTTCACCAGATTTGCAAGACCAAGTTTATCTATATGTCAAAGTTTCTCTATATTTCTCTAGCACACAAAGTTATCAAAATTATTCTATTTCATGTGACAATGACACTTCCAGCTCTACTCTTCTTGACTACACTCTCATGTCAATTCATGTTACAAGTAGAAAGCATTGAATTTTTTGAAGTATTTCAGCAGGTAAAATGAGTCTAGTGAGAAATTTACACAGCTACAAAACTATGCTTTACTGTTTTCCAGAAGAGAAACCAAGCAAGCTAAATGTATAAAAAATAAATACTTGCCTTCGTATATATACTCTTTCCATCTGATACAATTTTTAACATTCTCATATTAAGTAATGTGGGGGAAAGTTAGACAAACGTGGGAAAAAATTCAATCTTGACATTTTGACATAAAATTTTCTCTGGTACCCCTGATGCCATAAAATAGTTCTTTCCATCAGCATATTGGCATCTAAACAGTACACTGAATGCTATCCAAAATATAATCTGGTTCTTCTTAGAAACATTTCAAAAATGTGACAACTGATTGAGAATTTTCCTTGAAGTTTTTACATCAATGTGCCTATTGAATCTGTGTGCCTATTGAAGAAGTCTGATTTTTATTAAAACTTAATTTTTGAAAATTTATACACACTGAAGTATTTTTCAATCATTGTGCACCTTTAATACATAAACTTGACAATTTGTTACTGATGCAATAGTTTCTCTAATATTCAAATTTTAATTATCATATAAAAAATTTTGGCACAATCAGCTTTCACATCCTTTGAAATCCAATTATCACAATTTTCAAAAATCATTTATACTTTTCTAAAAACTCTGTTACTCTCATAACAATGTTCCAAGCCTTTCTTCAGCATCGACCAAACAGTAATTCTCCTTGAAAGTAGCCATTTTGTCATTTCCCTACAGCCTGGGGCTGGGTACCAATAGTATCTCTAGTTCCTACTTACTCACTTATCCAGATGACAATTGAATTGAATTGTTGCCTTATTTTACGTGGTGAGACTCAGGCCATCAGACCAGCTCTTCCGTCTGACCACTCTAATTTCGCTATGCTCCTTTCACTAACTAGCAAAGAAAGAAGGTATTTCTAGGGCGATGAAAGAGGCGATTTGAACTTAGCTTGGAAGCTTCATTTAGGCTTGAGGACATTAGGGCTAGTTTTAATTAAATATTTGTATTATCAAGGTCTAAAATTATTTATTTTTTCTCAAACTTCTTGTGGGTGAGAATATTCCTGTTTTAAGGATTTGGTATTTATTTGAAGATTTAATTCATAAAAAATGTAAAGCATTTCTTATGAATTTCCTCAAAATTTTTAAAGTTTCCACATGTAATGACACTTCAAAAAGGTTTCTATTAAGTTTTGTCAAAACAAATCCAAATTTGTACCAAAATAAATTATCTCATGCAACCTCACCATGCTTTCTATGACATATTGACAAAAATATTAGAGATTCATTAAAATTAATGAAGTTTGAAAGATTAAGGACCCCCCTCTGAATACATCTATTTCAATATTATAGCAATGAAAACTAATCAACTTACAAAAAATACTTATCATACACAAGAAGTTTACTTTGTAACAATCTTGGGCTTAGTCTTTGGTGTAAGAATTTAAACTCTTAAGGTACAGTCTCTCACTTTTAATATGTGGTAGATTTACCTATTTGTTCTGTTTTACCTGCCTGACAGGGGCATAGTTAGACTAGTGCAGTCAGTACACCACATCAGGTTCTTTGAAGTTAAG